CCCATATCCATCACACAACATTGCCTAGCATGGAATCTCACTTCCATTCCATTGTCACAAAATTGGCCGATGCTGAGCAAGTTGTGCTTCAGTCCCTGCACATATGATACGTTTCTGATTGTGACGCTCTCACAGATGACATCTCCTATCCCGAGTATGGGCGATGAAGCATTGTTCCCAAACCTCACATTTCCTCCAAATCTTTCAGAATAGTTGCTCAGTAGTTCAATCTGTCCAGTCATGTGTGACGAGCAACCCGAATCAAGATGCCACACATGACTGACCTGCAAAACAGATTAGTTTTGCTTAGGTACCCATCGCCAGATGGGTCCTTCCTTATCAACAGTGAGCAATTGTTTCAACTTCTTTTTGATTTGGGATCCTAGGCTGGCTGATTGAGAAGAGTTTTTCATTTTTAATTGTTCTGCTTCAGCCTTAGGAACCCATTTTTGTTTGATTTGTTTTATTTTTGGAGCGAGGGAACTTTCATTCGTCCTAAGTGATTGTTTAGAAAAATGATCTTTCAAAATTGGTTCACATGATAGCCTTTTCAGATGTTTGACTGAGTGAATCTTGAGAGGATACCTTAAAAATGGCAATTTGACCTCACTCTCAACATTCACCCTATCAATCTTGGGCTTATTCACAACATTATCAACAATCACAGGATCATTTGGTTTGCAAGAAGAAACAGACTCAGGACAACAACATTTCATTGATTTAATGCAATTCAGAGAAACACATTTAGTACAACGATTCGAGACAGAAATCTTAGAACTAGAAGACTTAGGAGCCACTCTTTTAGCATAACTAGTAGAAGGCTCACTAATGCTAGAACTAGACTTATTCTTAACATAAAATATGGCGCTCGACCGCTGACACTTATTTCTTAATCTCGACTCTTCTTCTCTCTTCTTCCTTCTTATTTTGTCTTCAATCCACTCTCCTTTCTTCTCGACTCTCTTCTTCACATCTTTCCCTGTCGGAGAATGAGACTTGAGGTGAGAAGAAGAAGTCTTAAAACTATCGCTTGAATTTTCAGAAGTGTTTTCAGAAGTAGAAGGGGAAGAGGTTTGAGAAGCTGTGTTAGACTGAGAGGCGGTTTTCAAAGAAGATATTTCTTTTAAAAGTTCATCCTTTTCCTTTTCTAAAACCTGCTTTTCCTTTTCAAAAGAATCTTTTAACTCAGCAAACTTTCTCACCAACGGTGGAATGTAAGCTGGTTTCTCAATTGGTTCAGATGTGGAAGCCTCCTCTCCGTCTTTCTCAGCTTCCTTTTCAGGAGGATAGGTCAAGATTTCTTCAGCAGGGGTCAAAGGGAGTGCTTTGGTTTTGTAGCTCTTGTTTAATTCTGTGTAGTCAAAAGGAACCTCTACACCAGCCTTTGTCTTTCTCTTTTCATCCTCAAGGGCATTCGTTTCTTCAGCACCAGTGAAGGCCATGAGTTTGGTCAATCCTATTTTCATGTATCTAACATCATAGAGTTGTCTACAGTTGACCTTTTTCAGGTTCTGAGGATTGGTCAAACCCAAGCCTTCTTTGGCGTTATAGAAACGTGTGTCCTTAGGCTGGTTAAGGAAAATAGTCTGATCTGTTTGGTCCCTTTTGGCTAACAGATCCTCAAGTTCTTTGATTTTAGTATAAAGAGCACCCCTTCTTTCCATTAGCAAGTTATTTACACCAAAAAGCCTAATTCTTTCCTTTTCAGTTGTTCTAAGTTTCTCTGTCAACTCTTTCTCACTAGCACTAAGTCGCTTCTTCTCAGTTGTGAGCTTAGTGATTGTTTTCTCTGAATTGATTATCTTAATGTTTGAGCATGTCTGTTTTTCACGCAGTTGGTTATACACCTCATACAACCGTTTGTAATTCACCTCTAGCTCCTTAAATTTATCATGCATATCTGTTCTAGAGCAGTTATGAATAGATGAATTAGAGGTACTTACTTCGTTGTCAGCATTACTGTTCTCAGCAGTCAGGGCAGTCGCTACATCAGCATTGGTTGCAGTAGACAGGTTCTTCTTCTCCTCAGCTTTGTTCTCCTCTTTTTCATCAGCAGCAGGGGTTGACTTCATCTTTCCTTCCTTCTCAGCATCCTTCTCTTTCTCTTCTTCTTCAACCACTGCCATCAAGGCCAGATTCTCTTCCTCATCAGAATCATCCATCCAGTGGTCTTTTTCAGCCATGAGAGCACTCTTTTCCTTGTTTTCTTCCATAGCCAGCAACATCTTCTTCTTGTTCAGGTACATCTTCTGCTTGTAGTACTCAGCATCCTTCTTCCTCTTAGGCATCCTGCAGTCCTTCATCAGATGTCCAGTCTTCCCACAATTGAAGCACTTTGGAGCATCCTCAGCAACAATATTCTCAGACGAATCAAAAGATCGCTCTTTTCTTTTGCTGTTGCTGGTAGAGGACTTGCGGAGCCTGTTGTTAGAGGAGTTCTTCTTCATCTGCATATGATTGTTGAACCTCGAAGTAAGAAGGGCTATTTGCCTCTGAAAATCATGCATCTCATCATCATCTGAATCATTCCTCATTCCTGCGTCACTGTCAGTAGTCTCACTTTCTTCAACCATCATTTTATCCTTCTTGGAACCGGACTTCGATGGCTTGTCAAGCATCAGGGCAAGGGTGTCAGCAAGCTTGTCCACGGCTCCCTTCCCTTTATCAGCTGTCACAGAGGCGACCACGAGGTCAGAAAAATCTTCAGCATATTGGTCAAGTGTGTTATACACTGCATGAATATCCATCTCATCCAGATCCTTCGTGTGCCTTATCTGTGAGCTCAGCTTCTTCCAGTCAGCTCCAAGAGAAGATAGAAATCTCACGTTCAGTTCCATATTGGACTTATGCACGCCAATCTTTCTCATCTCATTTATCAGTTGCAGAAATCTCAGGTAGGTGTCTTCAAGTGATTCTCCAAGCTTGGCTTTGAATGAGTCATAAGCAGTGAATGTGCTAGCTTTCTTCGCCTTTACTCCGATCTCCGTGCCTTGCATGATCTTAAAGATCTCATCCCACATCTCTTTTGCAGTTGACATGCTGTCAATCTGCATATAGATGTCGTTCGGGATGGCCTGCAACAAGTAGGTCTTGGCAATGAGATCTGCACGGAGTCTTGCTCTGTCCTCGTCATCATATTCATCAGCCGTCTTGGGTCTCCACTCAATCTCCACCGGTGGGTTGTTCCCGTTGTCTCTCTCAACAGCTATCATCAATTGAGCGGGTCCATTGGTGATAGAGTCAAGAAGACCTGAGGATTGGTCCTTGCTCTCAAGAAAATTTAAGAATCTGTTCTTCCATACATTATACTCCCCTCTTCGAAGAATCGGGGGTCTTGTATCATTTCCGATTGATAATGCGTCCATGTTAAATGATCGGGCTGATCAGTTGATTGATTTGATTCTGTCTTGTTGTTTTTAGTACTTTGGGCAGAAGGTTCTTGTTCAGAAAAGATTGCAAGTGTGAGATCGCGCAGATGTTGGAAGATCGCTCAACACTTAAAAATTCTAAGTCCAAATCACTCAAGTCCAAAGATGGGGCAGTTTCTTAGATCGGGCGAGTCCAAAATGTGCAAATCAGCAATCGCGCAGGTGTACTTGCGCGAAGTGAGGATCGCGCAGAAGTGCAAAATCGCGCAGGATGAGTTGCGCGATATCTCAAATCGCGCAGGGGTGAAATCTTCAAACTGTAGATCGCGCAGGTATGAAATCGGGCAACTCCAAAAGATCGCTCAAGATCAAAATCGCGCAGAGTGCTTCGCGCGAAGTTGAAATCGCTCAACTCCAAAATCGGGCAACCTAAGTTGCGCGAAAGTGGAAATCGGGCAGGAGTGCTTTTGCGCGAAACCTGTTCTTCTTCCCTAGGAGTTGCGCTAAACTGCAGAATCGCTCAACTTCAGCTTCACCTGTACGTCAAATTTCAGATCGAGATTTTCTCCAGGAATGATCCTAGCAACAGTAGAAACCTTTTCCTTCAGCCATTTTCCTGTAAAAACAACAACAAAAATAGAGCCAGAAATCGCTCAAGTGCGAATCTTCAACGGTGAAGAAACGCGCAGGAGTGTTTTTCAGCCTTCAATCGATCGATCAGCTCCGGCTCTGATACCAGATGTTAGGTCCCTGTTTTCTAGTCTATAAAATGTATGTATGGAAGATAGATCTGGGAATGAAGCTTTCCATTGATGTGATGAAGAAGTTTACAGAATGATATGAATGTTAGCGTAAAACTTCTATCACGAGAATAGGCACTGCGGCACTAGAATATCGAAAAGCTTAACCTAGCCTTTCCCTTAAGGCATATATATAGCCTGACGGGAAAGGTAGGTTTTACAATCATTTGGGCTCCTTTTCCTAGGAGGCCCATACCTAAAAAGGTATAAAACCTTTATTACAAACTTGCCTTAAAAGGCCTATTCATTATTCTAGCTAGTCTATTAAATTAAAATGCTAATTATAAAGAGCTAAGAAACATTGATCACAATACAATGAAAATATCTCTAACAATATATATATATATACACACATATAATATCTTATGATGTCTACTCATTCATTGCATTGAAGCATTTTCCTTTTTCAAGATACTTAGTAATAAATTCATAATATTTCTCATATACACTGGTGTATCTCGAAATATAAATGTAGTCAATAAGCCATTAATTTAAAATGTGAAATAAGTCAAACAACTACACTCTTGAAATTAAAAGTGCAAGTACCCACTTCGAAGTATGAGTTAATGACTTAATTCGGATATAGCCATATAGGCCCATTATTTGATTACAAGTAAAATGTAGTTTTAGATTTTCATTTTTTTTTTTGGAATTTTATTAAGTAAATTTTGGGATTTTTTGTTTAAAAAAAATGGTTGATACGGGTATCCGTCAGGATACGAGTATTGGAAACTTTCAAAAAATTACAAAAAAAAATGGAAACTTTTAAAAATTGCAGATACGGCCCGGGAACTGGAGTAGGTTATCTAGAGTATCCGGGAACGTATCTTTATCTTTACTCCGGCCTTGAAGCCCACGGGCGGCGCGGAATATCGTAGCAAACAAAATGATGGTTGGAGACGAAGGAAAACTGGCAGGAGAGGACGTCGGTGAAGAAGAACAGATCGTGAAAGAGATGGGACTGTACAAAGGGAAGGTGAGGATAGTGAACTGTGAAGAGCCAGCAGAGGAGATGATGCTGCTATGGGGATTACAACAGCCAACTCTCTCAAAGCCCAACTCTTTTGCCAAACAGTCCTCCCTCCAGCTCCTCCTTGACTCATGTGGCCGCTCTCTATCCATTCTTCAGTGCCCCTCTTCTTTGGTATGCATTCTTCCCTCTTTAAATATTCTGGAACACTAAAGCCAGTCCATTAGATTGCCATCAAGATTTGATTATGTTTCTATATGAAATGATGGAGTGTGTAATCCTTGATTCAAAAAGCGTTAGTTACATGCTCATTTCACTCTATTTCCTATACATATCACTCAATTCTCGAAATGAGGCACAAAAGCAATATCATCCCCCAGAGTTTTACCTCAATCAATAATTATTTGGCATTTACAGAGTTTATGCAAGATTGTAATTTAATAATTTTTCGTGTTTTTGATCTATTAATTTTTTTATTACTCCATGTTATGCAAACCAGAAAAGTTGATGAACTTGCTAGAAAGAATGTGGGTGTTTTATCAAATTATTTGTTGTGATGTACACGTTTGCATGGCATATATATAGAAGATAAGAACCAGTAAGGCTTTGTGTGCAAACACTACTCACAAGTGCTTTTGAACTTTTTAAAGTGATTTGGAAAAAAGTGATTAATAGTAAAAGTTGGTAGTGTTTGAGAAAAAAGTGATTTCGAAAAGTAAAAGTTGGTAGTGTTTGGTAAAATAAGTGCTTTTGTGTAATAGAAAAAGTAAAAGACAGATTCTAACTTTTAGCTCTTGAGTATTAATTTAAGTAGAAGTTCTCACACAGTCACACTGTATTTATATTTTTATTACAATTACAATCACTAATATCTTGAATGATCAACTATATAGATATACATCTTATTATAGGGAACTCCTGGAGTAACTGGTTCGGTAATGTGGGACAGTGGGGTTGTTCTTGGAAAGTTCATAGAGCATGCTGTGGAATCAGGAGAAATTTCGCTACATGGGAAGAAAGTTGTTGAATTAGGCTCTGGCTGTGGATTGGTGGGGTAATCAATATTGGCGGTGCTTAAGATTTTGTCATTTACTGTTGATGTTGCTTTCATCATTATCAGTTAAGAAAATCTAATACAGCATATTGACATTAAAAAGCCATTAAAAGTTAGCCTGATATTCCATTGTAGAGAATTTTCTGACTAGACTAAACTTCATTTTGTATATATTAATAATGCCCTTCTCACTTTTTATCATCTTCAGGTGCATTGCTGCTCTTTTGGGTGCTCAGGTTATTCTTACTGATCTCCCCGATAGATTGAGGTTACTGAAGAAAAATGTTGCAGCGAATTTGTATGGAGATGTAAAAGGTTCTGCAACAGTGAGTGAGCTTACATGGGGAGATGAACTCGAACCTGTTCTACATGATCCTTCCCCTGATTACAGTAAGATGCATAAGCTTTCTTGAAATCTGCAATACCTTGATGATTCAGTTTCTTGTTCATCAGCACATGCCAGATAAAAGAAGCATCAATAATGCATACTTTATAATCTTTATGTCATGTACTCCGTAATACTTTACATGATTATTGTAAGATGAGCAACCTTTATTTAAATACTTAAATACCTAGAAATTTAATTTCATATACATCAATATATTCCAGATAAATAATCATACATGGTACATATTTCATGAACTATTTACGGAATTACAGAAATATGGATGTATCGACCATTTGTTGAAACCAGAGAATATTCTACCTCAAACCTGTCAATGCACTGTTTGCACCTTATCAACATTGTTTATATAACTATACGTAAACATAAAGACAAACCGTATAAAACTTAACAGAAAGCGGAAAAATAAATAAAACCATATGTAGTTAATTAATTCAATAAAACCATATGTAATTAATTAATTCAATAAAACCATAATATGCTTAAAAATAACATATCCAAAACAAAAAAAAACATAATATAGTCATTATTTGGTATTCGTTCTCCCACTCCTATTCAAGTCAAACCAAAATGTCCGCCTGTAGTACAAATGCCATGATTTTCTTGGTCAGACATAAGAAATTGTATTGAATGTAATGTTATCACCACTTCATCAGAGAGAATGAAGCTGCTCAGTGCTTTATGAGCCACACACGAGCTTCTTCAATATCTAAAGTTAGCTTTTGGGCTGAGACAAAGAACTTGACTTGGTATTGTGAAACCCCTGAAACCTAAACCAATGTAAAAAAACTATTTTGCACTAGTGCCTATTCTATAGGAAGGAGTTTCCACACGTGATTTATCAATCGAAACTATATAGAATATACCTTGATTGGTGGGATAGATATGGCCATACTTGATGTCTGGAGATTGAAGTCTCCTTATTTTATACGTAGTATCATGTTTTTTCTTCTCTAGATGAAAAAGACACTACCTTTATATGTTTCAATCTCTCTCATCATTGCAGTTTTGGGCTCGGATGTCATTTACAGTGAAGAAGCAGTGGTAGATTTGTTGGAAACACTTGTAGACCTCTGTGGCTGTGAAACAACAATTGTTTTAGCTGGCGAACTTAGAAATGGTATCGCAACTAATAAACTTATGTGACTTTTAAATATTGTAGTTACTATTCATTATTTTCATATTCTTCTTGATGTACCAGATGCCATCCTTGAATACTTCTTGGAAGCAGTCTCAGAGGAGTTCATTGTGGGGCGTGTTGATCAGATGCAGTGGCATCCAGATTTTCTCAGCCCGCGCGTTGTGATTTACATTTTAGTGAAGAAGTAGAAATGCAGAAGGGTAAACGCTCGTTGCTTGGATCTATTTAAGCTGAGGTTCTCTTCCTAGCATTGGATTGGAACCATTGGTGCCACCGCCAATTCAAATGTGGGGCCTGCTTGGCCACTCAATGGATTACTAAGATTGACTAGGCACACTGCCATATGGCAGAACCTGCTTCTGATATATTCACAGTTGTAATTCTACCTGACACTTCACAATCTTTCTTGGAGGTGTCTTGAGTTGTACTCCGTAATTGTTTGGTTTATAATGGACAAAGTCTTCATGCTTTGTGTTGTTTTGAATGCATAACTTATGACCCTACTTATGCTTTTATGTCTTCATTTGTTTCCCGTTTCCTCCCTGAGTCTAGTGGAATATCTTGCGGGCTTGAGTGCCAACCTGCTATGGGATCGTGACTGTTGGATTGAGATTGAATGGTTCATAAGAAGTGGAAGTATGCTAGTGGGAAAATGGCCATTGATATCATATTATACATCCATAAAACCAAGGGGGACCCGATAGAAGGTGACACGTTTTCTTACCAGGATGGCTGAATGGTTTCCAACATTACATGAGTACGTGTGCAGGGACATGACAAGGACAAATAGTATCTCCTTCGCTGTTGCATGAACAACTATGTTTCGATGTAAGGTGTACTAAAAGTTGCCACAAACTTATATCTGAATGTCTCTGAGCAAAGTTAGAACGAGTAAGTAGTAACTTTCAGTGGGCAAAACGTATAAACGGTAGGAAAAAATGTTTTGTTTGCGCTCATTTAACCATTTGAAATTTGAGTGAGCGGGCTGATTTGCAACTAGATACTATCTAGTTAATCCAACGCTTTGGTTAGGACATCTGGAGTTGATTGCAATTATGTCATGTCTGATGGATGATATCCTTTTGCATCAGTGCAACTGACCGGTCTGACATGAATTAGGCAATATCGATTATTGGATTAATTGTTTGCATATAATTATTGGACCGCCAAGTTAACTGACTTTTGCTAGAACATTGAACGGGTTTAATGCACCAAACCCCCTCGTGAAACATAAATTCGGCGCATTAGTCTCATGTGATTTAGAAAATGTGTCAAACTCCCCTGTGTTATAATTAATCATGGCAAAAGTCCTCCAAAAACAAATTTTACAATTTTGAAATCACTTTTTTAATAATATGGTTGAATATGAAAATAACTTTGTCAAAATTTCTAAATTATACAAAACAACTAATCATTTTTCATTTTTTTTGGAAATTATATTTGTTCTTGGAGGGGATTTGGCGCATGATTAATTATAACTCATGGAGGTTTGACGTATTTTTTAAATCACACTATGAATAACGATAACACTGTTTGATATAATTAACTGTATTTAGGGTACTGATAAAAAGTGATGCAGTTTAAATTTAAAAAGATCTCTTGATTCACTTTTACAAATTCACCCTCTTAGATATGCCTGCAATAAGAATAAGAAAAGCATCATCTCTTTTTCTGCCATGGTAAATGAAGGTTGATACTTTTCCAGAAAAATCTGCAATCATGGAATAAGGCTATAAATTCATCAGTCTTTAGGAATAGTTAATTAAGAACGATTCCAAAAGGTTGATCAATAAGCACACTCTAATTACAAATTTAGAGGATGTATTTGAAAACCAATCTATAATCTAATTACCATAGACTAAATTACCTGAAGTTGTAGGACATCATTTCATTAGCTACAGGCAAAATGGGTGTGTACTGATTTCTCCACAGCCTCAATGAGCTTGTTGGCTATGGAACTAGCATACAATGTAGTACCTTCAAAGATCTGCAAGAAGGTAAAACAAGAAACCATTTATTTTACCCATTCCCGTCATCATCATCATCATCATTACCCCAGTGCCGCAAAGGCTCCCACACCTTCGGTGGGGTAAGGGGGGAGCGGATGTACGCAGTCTTACCTTTGTACTAAAGCACAGAGAGACTGTTTTCGGATGACCCATAGTAAAAATTGCACTGAAAATTGCATGGATTGACTGCGGCTTTAATAAGTCATTTTGCTTTATTCCATCACATTCCCTCCATCCAAAAAATTAAATTCCTACCTTGACTTTTCAAGTCAAAGTTCTTAACTTTGACGTTTACTTATTAAAAAATTATACTCCGTATTAATTTGATATGAATATACTCTTATAACAGTTTGTTTTAATATACATTATAGAATTAAATTTTATAACATATGTACTTGTAAGAGTTAATGAGACAGTAAAAGTCAAAATAGGAACTTTATGTTTGAGGGAAGCATTATGTAGTGTAGCATTAGATGGAGAACTTAAAAAAATAGTGCATGAAAAACATGAAACCTTGTAGTTGAACAGGAATTTATAGTGATCACCAATTATCCCTCCAGCAATATGGTGCAGATCAAGGTGCAGCTCATCAAGAACACCTGAAACTGGGAGGAGGCAGTTGCTCCCCTTCTCCTGGACAATTTTCACTGTAACTTCGCCTGCCATTACACGAACATCGACTTCTGCATTCTTGGATTTTTTCTGGAACCAGAAACTGGATCTCATTGAAGATGATCCAATATTGACATTGTAAGGTTGGTCCATATCATCCTCTGACTTCCCATCTACGCCATCTGATGTGATCTGCCTCTGCATCTTCTCCCTGATGTTTCTCTTCTGCTCTATAACAGCCTCAAGCTTTGCCACTCTGTTCCTGAGGTCATTTATGTAGACAATAGCATCCCCCACAATTGATGCCCTATCATTCTTCATTTATAAAAATGTAATGTCATTAGCCAAGTATCCAAAATTTTCAGAACTGTCAATGTGATTCTTTATTTCTATCATTGAACCAAAGACTCACTATTTTTTGGCTTAAGGTATGATGGAATAAAGAAAAATGGCCAACGCTTCTTTGTTGTAAACAACAGCCAGTCAATGCAATTTTCGACAGTTCATCATGATCATCCTAAAACAGTCTCTGTGCTTCAATACATGGGTAAGGTTGCGTACATCCGACTCCCCTTACACCAATGTAGGTGGGAGCCTTTGCGGTACTGGGGTAATGTTGTTATGGTTGTCTTGTGATTCTTTGCAACAAAATTGAAACAAATACTTCAACTAATACAGTTTTGTCATCAAACATAAATTAGTTCCAATTTTAATTTAAAAACATACTTATATAGATTTGAACTACAAGATTACTCTGACCAAATGGTGATTTACAAGTTACTCCAATAAATTGGAAATTATAGATCCCACAATAAAATTTTAGAAATAAGGATGGCCGATGATGGATGCAAGATTCTCAAGTAGAGACAGATACATATAAATAATGTGTACTGCTACATAATCATACAAAAATTAGATTGGAGGAAGTATACATGATTTTAAGTAGAGAAAGATACATATTAAAAATGAGGGATCTATTCTCACTTTTGTAATCCTATTACAACTATCTCTGATCATGGCAGTGGGGATGCAGGACAGTAGCACCCACCGTGAGAGGAAGTGCAACACCCTAGCATCCGACCTTCCACGGGATAGTATATAGTAGCTACCATCTGCAACAACGCCTCTAGTAGCAATCGTGTGACATGGATGGATTTTGCTACTATTCTGCTGTTACTACTTACTAGTTACTACTGCCATACTATTACTATTATTTTTCATTTGTACAGAAACTGTTGAAGGTGGGTGGGGGGTGGGGGGGGGGGGGGGGTGCAGTGTTAATGTGTTATGTAACGTCCATGTACAATAAGGGAGCGTAGGAATACCTTTGTGGGATTAGGAATCAGCTTCCTTAACGCTTGGAACTTGTCCTTGAATTGGACTCTCCTTTGCTTCTCCAAGGCAAAATGCTTAGCGTCCTTACTATTACCGCTGCCTCTCTTTTTGCCCAAACCTTCCATGGTAGCATTAAACTCAAAGCCTGTGTGAACAAAACCACTTCCGTCCATACCTTGGTGGAAAGAACCATAATCCAGTACCTGGTATTTATCATCCATTTCACCAAACAGAGAGCTACTACCACTTGAGCAACCAAAGCCATAGGCTCCCTGAGGTAAAGAGGTAAACATAGAAGGGTCGTCATGACGATGAACAACAGTTGAATCTGGGGATGTTACATCGTCCCCAAAGAGACCTAACGAAGTGAAGAAGGCTGAGGATTCCTGATAGGCGTTGTTAGAAGGGGGAATGGAATGTGGGTTTGGGATCAAAGAAGATGGCAAAGGGAACATGCTAAGAAGATCTGGTGTTGTTTGTAGATGTGGGTATGGTGTTTCAGGCACTGAAGTTGCAGGAAGAGTTTGGTGGTGCAATAAGAAGCCCCAATCTTGGGTAAAATGGGAGGGATTATCACTCTCATTATAGCACTGTTCCATTTCAATATTCTGCTGCTGCTGAAGCTCCATGTCCATGCTCAGCTTCTTTTCCTTCTCCTCCTCTTCTTTCAGGGAGAAGATACTGTTTGGAGGGGACACAAATCTTCAGCTAGCAAGTACACCAGCTTCTGGCAAAGTGGAATCACAACATCAATAGCCGCCAGCCATCGCTTTCTATAAAGATTTCTTTTTAGGAACACAAAGTTTATGCTTTCTTAGCTTTGACTCGGCCTGTACTATGTTGTCTAATAAGTTACAGACACCTCAGAACAAACTACAAATATGGTACGTACTAGCTCAAGTACGTGAAACAGAAAGGAGTAAAAAGGACGACCTTTTGCAGAAGAACGGAAGAAACGGTTAAAAAGAAACAAACTCATCCTTGTCAAAAGGCCCCAATTAAACTCCTCACGCATACTTACAATATACTACGTATATTAAGATTAATTTTCGTTTTCAGATTAGTATTAGTTGAGTTATTTTGGAACTATTACATGATATTTGAACTTTTAGGGACCAGGAAATGAACGTGGAAGAAGAAGTGACATATGCACAAGTTTTAATTTCTTTTTTTAACTAAAAGTATAAGCATTTTTAAATTCCCCTAACATATTTGCAAAAAAACATATTGATGTTGAAGCACTACTTATACCCATCACATATTTCCATCCACTAATTCACTAAACATTAATGTTTCAAACAACTAGTTTATTTATGCTTAAAACTTTAAAAGTTAAAACTTTGTTTGGTGAAATGTCGCCAACTATTTCTGTAATAATTCGCCTAAAGTATCGCATACAATTGAAATATGTCAAATTTACTTAAATAAAAAAAAATAGGATTAATGTCTAATTAATAGCGCCTCTTAATTTTACAATTGCTTTTGAAAATTTTGTGATTGAAAATCATTTTGACTTCAATTAACCATGTTAATGCATAATTTTGCATAGAAACTCAAAAAGTTCTTTTTTTAATGGAAATTGAAATATTATATTAAATTACAATTCACGGTGTGAAACTGAGAGGCAATACAATCAGGAGAATTACAAACAATAAAGTAACTATGGCCCACCGCCCCTCACTCTTTTATCAGACATAGAATAATTCACCCTAAAAAGAGCGGGACTAATCATTGAAAATGTGAGATTTTTGAGGCTATTAATGGTTGGGTCGGCCTGATTGCCTCTAAATAGAAATCAAGCAACTAAAGTAAGCCAAACTAAGAACCTACCAGTCTACCACCCTTATTGTTTGACCTAATAAAAAAAATAAAGATTACCAATAGGAAAAATCAATAAACTTTAGCTAGTGGAACAGCAGACCCATTCTTCAAACGTCGTCTTCCAGGCCCTAGTCAAGCAGTTTCATTGTGGCGGCGGTTCAGGAGGGGGGCGAATCATTCACGTACCATCTTCTTTCTCCACTACCTGAGGCGGCCAAAACAACCTCACCGATCCCCAACTACCCAACTGCAGGCCAAGTTCGCCACCAAAGCCAAAATAGCCAAATCAAGCATCGGACAATCAGGCCGCGTAAGTCGTAACCCTAGCCGACACAGGTCCATGACCACCTCCGAAACCACTGTCAGTGTCTATTCTCTCATATTCAATCATCTTCATCTTCTCCAATTCTTTCTACATATATATTATTTATATAATTATTATATCTACTTATATATTAATTATCTACTTATAAATACATATATTATATTACTACTATTTATTATCTACTTAATATATACTAGTTATCTACTTAATATTTACTTGATATTTAGTTATTATCTATACTTATTGTTGTTTACTTATATTTACATATTACATTTAGTTAATATATACTTATATATATATATATATATTAAAGTATTAAGTATAAGTGTATTACTCATCTTATAGTAATATACTTATATATTATATGCTATAAAAATTATATTATATATTACTTATAATATATTTACACATTATATATAGTATATATACTTATACACATTCATATTTACTTGATATTTAGTTATTATCTATACTATTGTTATTTACTTATATTTACATATTACATTTAGTTAATATATACTTATATATATATATATATATATATATATATATATATTAGAGTATTAAGTATAAGTGTATTACTCATCTTATAGTAATATACTTATATATTATATATTTATATACTATAAACATTATATTATATATTACTTATAATATATTTACACATTATATATACTATATATACTTATACACATTCATACATTTTATAAAACTAGTTAATTGTTACACTTCTCATTTTTCTATTAAATTAGTTAATTGTTACATTTCTCTACATTTCTCTTTAAACAAAAAAAAATTAGTTACTTGTTACATATCTCATATTAATATTAGTTAATTTTTCTAAATTTATCTTTAAACTATAAAAAGTAGTTAATTGTTACATTTCTCATTTTCCTATTAGTTAATTGGTACATTTCTCATTAAAGTAAAAAAAAAAACTAGGTAATTGTTACATTTCTATTTAAAGAAAAAAAATAGTTAATTGTTACATTTCTCTTTAAAGAAAAAAAATAGTTAATTGTTACATTTCTCATATTAATATTAATTAATTGATACATTTCTCATTAAAGTAAAAAAACTAGTTAATTGTTACATTTCTCATATTAATATTAGTTAATTGGTACATTTCTCATTAAAGTAAAAAAACTAGTTAATTGTTACATTTCTCATATTAATATTAATTAATTGGTACATTTCTTATTAAAGTAAAAAAACTAGTTACTTATTACATTTCTCTTTAAAGAAAAAAAACTAGTTAATTGTTACATTTCTCTACATTTCTCTTTAAAGTAAAAAAAAATAGTTACTTGTTACATTTCCCATATTAATATTAGTTAATTGGTACATTTGTCATTAAATTATTAATTAGAAGTAGTTCATTTTTTTTCAAGGGAAAAAATTGTTAAATTTGATATACTCATATTTTAGTTCGAATTTGCTATAATTTTCTTAGTCACATTTTATTATTACTATTGTACTCATATAAAATATTTGATATTATTTAATATTTGTTTAATTTTAAAGATGGACTGTGGTAGACATTCTGTAGATATGAGTAATCTCCAACGCAACCGGAAGAGGGATATTGCGACGACTCGTCCTAATTCACGCAAAGGCAAAGGTAAAGCGCGGGCCGAGTCTTCTTTTCAAAGTCGAGATGATTTTGAAATGGATTACCAACGGAGAGATGATATGGCGATGTCCGACGACCAACTACAAAACCTATTGTCCCAAAATGATCCACGCTTTGCACAAGAACAACAATTCCCGACAACCATTGACGAAGATGAGCTCGAGATGAGGATGTGGAGGAGGACGGGGGGGGGGGGGGGCATCCCGGATGATGAGCAAGAGTTGGAGGACGAGGGCGGTTCATCCCAAATTTGTAAGAAATCTAAATCTCCTATTATTGAAAACAATTTTACAAAAAGGAAAGACAAAAATACCGATAAATGGTACCCAAGTTGCAATCATTGCAAGAAAGAGTATAGCTTGGGAACTGTAGGCGGATACGGGAGTCTGACAAGACATCTTAAGTCCGCGCACTTAGTGGAGTATGCGAAAATAGACAAAGGCAATGAGAAGCAAACACAAATATCGAGGTTTGCAAATTCTCAACCCTTTGGTAATTTCTCCTATGATGATCAAAAACATTTGACTGGTATGTCTCATTTAATTGTTGAAGAAAATTTACCTTATATTTTTTCCCAAATTCTTGCTTTAAGAGATTATGCTCAAGGTAGTTTAAATCCTCAATTTAGAAATTATAGTCGCAAAACGATTAAAAAAGAAGTTATAAGACAATATAACTTGGAAAAAGAAAAATTACAAACATTTTTCGCAAACTTTGATGGACATGTTAGTATTGGTAGCGATATATGGGAGGATACTTATCATCATTTATATTATTTGGGTCTTACTGCACATTATATTGATGATGATTGGAATATGCCTAAATGTGTTCTTGCTTTTCGTGAATTTAATGATCGTCACACTGCTAATAATATTTATCTTCTCATTGAGCGTATTTTAATTGAGTATAATTTGATTGATAAGGTGTTTGCTGTAGTTTTTGATAATGCTAGTAATAATACTGCTGTTATACCTAGATTGCATGAATTGTGTGGTGCTTCTACATTGATGGGTAGGTTTTTTCATCAACGTTGTGCATGTCATATTCTCAATTTGTGTGTACAAGATGGGTTAGCGGCATTGAGAAATGCTTTGGAGGTAGTGAAGGGGGGAATTAAATTTATTTGGGCTAATACTCCACTAAAAATGCAATGGCGGCAATATTTGAATGATAGGCGTGTCAATTATTTTGCTTTTCCTAAAGATTTGTCTATTCGTTGGAATAGTACTTATAACTTAATTAAAGTACTTATTAGATATAAAGATCATTTTCCTGCTTTTTTAAGACAATCTTGTAACTATATTATAAACCCGGCTGACATTGACACTTGTGAAAAAATTGTTAATGTTTTGGTATATTTTAATAATCCAACTCAAACTTTTAGTCATGTTTATAAACCTACCGCAAACGAATTTTTTGTTGAAGCTGTTAATCTCGCCGACGCTTTATGTGAATTTGCCGATGCCGCTTACGTTAGTTATTTTTGTGATTTCATGAAACAAAAGTTTTTAAAATATTATTCACATATTCCTCATATATATGGTATTGCATTTATTCGTGATCCTCGTTATAAACTTGCTTACTTGGGAACTTGTATAAATTACTATTATGCTTCTTTTTTTCCAACTCAAGAGTTCGATGATAATCCCATAGACCCTAAACAAGAATTTAACAAGGTTAGTAATTTATTTCATCAATTGTATAATGAATTTTATGCACAATATGGTAATGGCAATGCACCCCCTCCCCTGCCGCGAACATCTTCTTCATCTAAAGGAAAATCACTTTTAAAATCTGCATTTGGTTCTCTTTTGAAAAAAAAGTAAAGCAACTCCCGCTAATGAACAAAGCTCGATCAGTTAACGAGCTTTCTTTGTATCTAACATTGAATGTTGATTATGAAGTTGGGGATGACGTTGACGTTCTTAAGTGGTGGAAGGATAATGAAAGAACGTTCCCGGTTTTAT